GGATTGATTGATTGATTGATTAATTCCTAGGCTATTTCAGGTCAAACTGACCTATGCAGCCACCTTGATCGCTATGGCTTCCGCTTCCCTACAGTGTCACCCCGTCTCATCTTCTACCGTACATTTACCAGTCTTTTGTTCTTTTGTCCTTTGCAGTTATTCCCCAGTCTCTAACACCGGCAATAAATCCTTCATATGGGAACCTGTCTTGCCCTGACATCCATCCTTCCAATGAGTCCGGAATTTTGTCCTTGACGGGAAGTTTTGATAACAACGGCGACATCTTGATGGCTTCGGTTGGTTGTCTAGCTTCCGGTAGTGCTTGGCTGCCCATTCACATTTGATCTGATTGTCCTTCACATATTTCAAGTGCATTTCCTCTGGGTCGTTTTTCTCACTCCAGTCCGAGTGGGTGAAAGAACAGGAGTGACAGGATGCCCTATCCATACTAGAACGCGTATACTGTGCATATAGACCAGCTGCCGCCATTCTTTCATCAGAAATGAGGCACCAAGAATCTTTGAAGGAGTCATGGCGATTGATGTAGCTTGTCATTCTCGGGTTACGACATGGCCATTTTTCGCTTGGTTGAGAGTAGGCCATCTGGGGATGACCAATAAGGAGGAGGCTCGAAAGCAGGAGGCTCGAAGGCCTCTGTGGGTTGGGAGGTCGTAGTTATCAGCGTGAAAAGAAAACTCTAATGGCACCCCTTGGATCTTCAACTGCTCACTTTTCCATATACATATGCAAATTTTATATGTATTGGATTTTCCCTTGTTGGTCATTCTGCCTTTCCTGACTGCTCTGCGGTTCCTAACAAGCATCTTCCCTAAAACCTTGAGACAGTAAGGGAACAATTAGGCCATAAAACTTAACTATACCTAAATATTTCTATGGGGAGGCATTCTAATATAGCAATATCAGAAGATATAAATGATAGTAACTTAAAAGGAGGGATTGATAGTGATCCTCTAGTAGCATATTAGAGTCCCAGTAAATAATCCCAGTAAATAAGGCAGGAAGAAGGAAAGAAAATACAAAGGCATGACGCAAAAAAAGGGCTAATAGTGCGGAAATAGCGGCTGTTATATAACTCGCGCAGATAATGAAAATAAATTAGGATGACGGAGAGCAGTAGGGCAAGGGGAAACAGTTTTATATAGCGGCGATGAGATGTGTCTTTCAGACACGCGGTGAGGTATTCCTGACGCCATTCCCAAATAGGAACGCTAAACCTGAAAGGGGAATTCGGCGGCCCTGAGAGTACGGAGTACATAGACGGCGTTGGTGGCCTTGCGCGCTGCAGCCGACAGACACCCCGGTCAGCGGGAGGGACTGGATGGAAGAAAATACGCCGACTAGAACACAGAACAGCCGAGGTTGTCTTGTCTTGTCTTCTTCTGACTTCTGATATTATGCAGTGTACATAGGCTAGGGATGGAGAAAATTCAATAATTACGGCAGGCCTAATTAATTTCAACGCCATTTTGATTGAGCGAAAAAAAAAACAAAACGAGATTATTACGAGATTAGTTAACTATCCATTCGTCGGGTAACTAGTTACCTAACTAAGTTAAGCATGTTTACTATTAGTCATCCGGTTGAAATTCAGCCAATCAAATCAGCACAATCAGCACTTAGTACAGAGTATGTGGTGCTTTCCACCAATAAGATCACAGTAGTAAACAACAAAAATATATATTTTTTCTTGTTTATTTATTATATATTTACCTCAGTCATCAAATTTGTATGGTATGGGGAAGTGGTCTTTGGAAATAAAAAAATTTTTTGATTTCGGAATTAACAAAAATAATCTCCGTTTTTTTACGCGTCAAAGAACCCGAGATCTTGATGCGGCCGCTATTAAGGCAACATTCATGGATGATGACGGCGTTGGGATCCATCCATAGCGCTCGGACGTGTTATATTCCCTCAGAGTGACCAGCGTCATGACCAGGTCAAGGCGTCCAGCGGATGGAGCCGATTGATTCGCGCCCGCGACGAGATTCGCAGGCCAGTTGTCACGTGGAGATTGCAAGGCTGATACATGATATCTAGGCCGTAGCATGGATCTGTTCGGTTAAGATAGTCCCTGGTCGCGCGTATTCAATCTATCAAGCTGATCCTCTCGCAAACCGAGGTTCAAGATACGCACTCGCGAATCCCATCGACCGTTGCCTGGCCGTGCCTTCGAAGTGTTGATCCTCGAAGCAATCGAACCCACCTCGCTGGAGACATCACCACCTCTATCACGGAAATAACAGTCTCCCATGTGGATGGACGTGGGGGTTCAGTCAAGGTCTGCATGGAAGCGAGTGACGTGCTGGAGACGATCGATGTCAAAGCGCGCGCATCGATGCGCATCGCCGACTTCGATCGACCAGATCAGACGATTCGACCGTCAATATGGGAAGAATACGCGTCCTGCCGATGGCACGACGGATATTTAAAGGCGCAACATCTCGTCTGGATCCATCGATTCATCATCAGCAGTCGAAACAAGACAAAATATTGATTGACATTCAGCATACACCATGAGTTCTACTGCCACCGAAATCTACCTCGGCTCCATCATGGAGGCCCGCAAGGTGCGCGAGCCCGACAAGACGACGCCCTTCATGGCTCTGCCCATCATCGACCTGTCCGACATCGACAGCCCGGACCAGAGCAAGCGCGACGCCCTGGCCTCGACCATCTACGATGCTTGCACCCAGGTCGGCTTCTTCTACATCAAAAACCACGGCATCTCCCGCCAGTCCCGCGAGAAGGTCACTGCCGAGGCCGGCCGCTTCTTCAAGGAGCTCTGCCCCGACCAGAAGATGCGCCTCTCCAAAGCCCATAGCGAGTACCATCTCGGCTACTCGCCCTTCAAGATGGAGGAGAAAAAAGGCGTCAGCCCGATCCATTGGTTCGAAGGCTTCCTCTTCGGCCGCGAGGCCGTATTCGACCACGTTTACGGCGACAAAGTCGGCCCCAGCCACGACGCCCACAACCAGTGGCCCGAGGAGGACGAGCTGCCGGACTTCAAGGCCGCCTTAGGCAGCTACTTCAGCGAGCTGCTCACGCTGAGTCGGAAGCTGGCACGCATCTTCGCGCGGTCGCTGAACCTCGACGAGTCGTTCTTCGACGCCATGATCGATCGCCCGGGGTGCATGATGTCGCTCAACTACTACCCGGACCGAGCGCCGGACCAGCATGACGTGAATTCGGCCATCCAGCCGCACACAGACCACCAGCTCTTCACCATCCTGTACCAGACGCAGGGCGCCAACGCGCTCGAGGTCGCCAACAGCGACGGCGTCTGGGTGCCTATGCCGCCCATCGAGGATACCTTTGTCGTCAACATCGGCGACGCCCTGTCCATCTGGACCAACGACGTGTTCCTGTTCACGCTGCGTCGCGCCGTCAACTCCTCGCGGAAAGAGCGGTTTTCTATCTCTTTCTTCTTTGGCGCTAACCATGATGCCCTCATGGAGACCCTGCCGTCCTGCGTGACCGAGACGAGGCCCCGCAAGTATCAGAGTATCACCGCCGGTCAGCACTATATTAACAAGATGAATCATTTGTATGAGAGGGTTGCGCCTGTGAAGTCTTAGGATGTTTTTCTTATTGCTAGGTAGCCGAGCTTGAATAGCTATCTCTGCCTGCAGGTCGAATGTGGATATATGATTTGACGATTTGTTGCAGCTAGGCTCATTGTTATCGCTCTGTATGTATGAGGTCTTGCAGCTGTCGATAGTAGTGGGCCATTTTGCTGCGAGTCATTCCTGTCTCCTTAGACTGCAAAGTATTTTCAGACTATATGTCTCTTCAGAATACCGAGTCTGTTCAGACTCCCGAGTCTTTTCAGGCTAGAGGTACCTTGAGACTTCCAAGTCTCTTTGGACTGCTGAGTCTCTCCAGAATATAGGTCTCTTCAGACTGCCGAGTCTGTTGAGACTGCGGAGTCTCTTCGGACTGCTTGGTCTTTTCAGACTACTGAGTCTCTCTGGACTTTAAGTCTTTTCAGACTGCCGAGTCTGTTGAGACTGTGGGTCTCTTTGGACTGCTGAGTCTGTTGAGACTACTGAGTCTCTTCAAACTGCTCTGTCTCTTCAGACTGCCGAGTCTTTCTAGACTAGTAAGTCTATTTGGACTGCAGTCTCTTTCAGATTAAGTCCTGGACTATCTTTCTGCGATCTGGGTTTTGATTAACAGCAGGAGCCCACAGTCATTAACTTAGAGCAACAGTAAAAGAACACTGGGAGAAAACTAGAGCCAAGAAGAAAATGTACCATAGGCAAGCACTTAGGTCAGGATGGTTTGCAAAAATAGTTCTCTAATAAATGAACATCTCAGTAACCAACAAGGACCAATTTAAATAGATGCTCTTAGCAAAGGAATGAGCGGTTGGAAGCAATGTCCACAGGCAAATAATCAGGCCCATATAACCTTTTTGACATTGAATCTATCCTCCTTATTGTTCTTCTTTGGATCAGAGCTCCATGGAAGCGCATACCCACGTTGATTGCTCACAACCCTCATATTAGTTACCCTCCTTGAACTCTGCGGTATGATGTGTATGTCCAAAGACCCAGATCTTCACTCCATTCCAGTCGTCTTGAGACAGGATATCGGTTGCAAATGCAGAATTCCATGGATTCTGAGCATGCTGAGGGCTTGATGTATTTTGAAGAGAAGGGGCGTGATGCTATTTTGAGGGATATGACAGCATGGACTTCGCCTTCATAATTTTCCGATCCGAGTCATCAAGAGCCATAATGGGTGGGGGCGTTAAGGCAGCAACAATGAGGCTGTGCCTCTGAACCAATCAGAGGCAAGTACTTACCTATTTGAGGCGCAGGCAACAACTGCCAATGGGAAACTATGGTGTGGAGAATGTGATACTAGTGCTTTAGCTGAAGCACGGAAAGGTGAGCCGATGCAGCACTAATCACCCTAATCGCGCGAACTCAAGGCGGCGTTGCTCACCTACTAGAACAGGAAGGGCAGTCGACCAGGTGCTCGTAGATTTTTGCTCGGTAGGTAAGGTATGTATGTACTACATGTACATACATGTACCTACACTGATCCTTGCCAGAAATGGTAGGTAATTAGCCTGAGCCCTGCAGGAGTCGATTCCAATTCGGCATCCGGCTTGTTGTGATGCTAGTCATTTCTTTCTGACAGAAGTTAGGTTATTAACACAATACGAGGTAGTGCAATAATACCCCGCAGCAGTAGATAGATAGATCGATGGAAATTAAATACTTATAGGAAACTCCCCGCTCGCTGATTCTGTAGCTAGGAAAGTCAGAAAATTAGAAAATATTTGTTCCTATCCCTAATATTACCCCTTCTATAAACAAAACTACCTAGCTGAGCAAAAAAAAAATAACGAAGCCGCCGTTCATTTCCAAACCGGTATATATCAAGTGTCCAGAGGCCCGTAAAAAATTACTAAATTAGTAGAAATCGTACAGTACAAATAACTCCAGTCCAGTCCAGACTACTGGAACACGTAGACCATCCCGGACCGATCTACACTCACGGTCATCCCGTATGGTACCCGAAGAACGGCCACGTCCAGGATAGAGTCCAGATGGCTCTTCAGCAACTGCTGCTGCTGAAGACTGATCACTGTGCTTCGTGGTAGACGGCCTCCGCTTCCGCTCGTGCCCTTGCGGCCGCCGCCCGTTCGGCCACTTGCTACCGCCACATTGGGCATGTGCTCCGTTGTCACGACCAGGTTCGGGGTTGGCTGGACGGTTTCGTAGCGAGGTTTCGCTGCAACAGTGCCGTCTGGCCCAGTTTCCAGACCGCTGACAATCGTCGACAGCTCCGGTCGCGCAAGATCCCAGAAGCGGATTTTGCGATCCGAACCCGCGGAGATCGCAAACCCGCACTTCGTGCTGTCCTTCCCGTCCTCGGGCATGTCGAATCCAACTGTCAAGGTGCAGATCCCATTGCGGTCCCCGGCGCCCGCCGGACTCGTCGCCGCAGTCGTGTTGGGTTCGATGCCCGCTGACGACGCACTCGCAAACCGGCTCAACATCCCCTCAGGACGATCCTCGTCCACACGCCATGGCTCATAACTCTTCGACACCGTATTCATCGCAGCCAAATTGTTCACAATCGGGCTTCTGTGGCTGTGAGGGCCCCCGTTAGGAGCAGGCGTATTGGCGGCGATGACGGAAGGCGAAGCAGCCCGATACACTTCACGGCATTGAACTTTTTCCACATCCCACACGGTGATTTCACTCCCGTGTCCGCTGCCACCGGCTACGCAGACCCAGCGGCCGCGCCCTTTCGTAGGATGCACTTGAAGTCGGTGGATGGCGGTGCCTCCGGGAAGTCCCCAAGCTTTTAATCTGACTCGGAAGCGGAGGTCCCAGAGGTCGAGAATCCCGTGTGAAGTCCCCACCAAGAGCCAGTTATGTTTTCGGTCGTAACAGAATGCCGTCGGGGTCCCGTGGTGTACGGGGTTCTGAAGCGAATAGACAGGAAGCATAGTCTTCATATCGAGCGCCAGAATACGGCAGGTGTTGGTAGCAATAAGGAGGGTCGACTGGGCCTCCGAGCGGAAATGTTCCATCCACGTAGCATATTCTACAGAGCCGTCGTCCGCCTCCGGCAACTGGTATTGCCGAACAAGCTGAGGCTTACCGTATCGCACCGTTTCATTGACATTGTGATAGTCAACCTTGACAGCGTGAATACTTCCATCAGTGGCCCCGCTGACAAAGGTGTAGGTGTTCTCGACGAATGTCAGGCATTTGACCTTCGATCCTGCGGCGTGACGATGTGTCTGTCGGGACCTCGGGGTCAGGTTTTTCTCCAGGCGTGCGGTATCCCACACTTTAACGGTGCCATCGTCTGACGCCGTGACGAAGAAGGCATGGTCAGGAGCGACCACCACCCGGTTCACGGGCCCTGTATGCTCCCCAAACATCGCAACCAGGACTCCTTCTGGTCTCCAGGGTTTATCCCCGTCTTCTCCACTGGCTTTCTTGATTGGCCGGCGGGAGTCAATTTCCTTGACATAGGGGCCCAGATCGAAGAGATCGGTAGGATAATTCTCCGCAAAGACGGAGTCCAGAAGCTTCAAAATCATCGGATCATTGCTGCTGTACGAATGGCCTGCGTGGTATTGCTGCTGCACTGCCTGTTGGGCTGGTCTCTCTCTAGCCATTGACAGAGGGGATTGTGACGGGGCTTCTCGTTGGGATGGAAGGTCGACCTTACCAAAGGCATTGGCGGAGGTCATGCCTGTTTCTGCATAGGCCTTAGCCGTATCTTTGCGGTTTAAGAGGCCGATCGCGCTAGACTTCCGCTGGACACCACCGACTGAACCCGTACTTTCAGCATCAGTTGGGGTGAGTAGGCTGCCACGATCAGAATTCTTATCGGCACCCTGCATTCTGAGTGAGGACCTTCGCTCCACGTCTGAGCTTGGCGCTGAAGAATTTTGAGACACGGGCTGAGCCGTTGGAGAAGATGACATTGATGATGGTGTCTGTGAGTCCGTCTTGATGGCCTCCAAGGCATTCGGCATTGGCACCTGCAGCCCAGAACCATTATCTCTCTGTTTTTGACTCCTCGACCGCAGATGTTTACGGCGGGCAACTGCCGGGGTATCAATTGTGGTGGAAGCGTCAAGCAACGCGTCTGCAATTGTATGCGGTCTTCGTTCACCTTGATCAGTGGCATTGATATCGCCCGATGAGGCCCTTCGCTGCTTAACAGTCTGGTTCTTATCAAAGAACACAGTTTGTGGCGTCACTCCATACTGTGTCAACGTGATCATGTTATTGAGCGGTGTCGACGTTCCCTGGTCGGCATTCTTGCTCAACCGCATTGCAACCCTCCAGATATATTCCCTGAGAGCTAACAGCTTGAATTCATCGTCAGGGGTCATGCCTAAATTCCTTAGTCGTGAAAGCCACTGCTCGTCTTCCTCATTTTTGGGCAATCCGGCAAGAGAAGTGCTCGTACTTCTAGAAGAACCCCTACCAATATGCCACTCAGAACCACTGAGACTGAACGCAGCATCTCGACTTGCAGACTTCCAGAAGATTCCCTTTTCGGCCTTCGATGCCCATACTAATGCCATATCGTATATGTTTTTCGGCAATGGCCGTTTCAGTGCATCGAGGATCTCGCCTTCCGAAATCGAAGTGATGCTGGTTTTGAGGAACGGTCGAATAAGGGGAGTAAGAATCGAATGCTTGTCCGCAAACGACAGAAACTTCGCTGACGTGACGACGAAGAACACAGCCGCTTCACGGATCCACAAACTTGGGTGAACGAAAAATCGCACAACGATGTGAAGGAGTTCCCATGTTGTCGATCGTTGGAAGAGACCCTGGTCCGCCATCGCTGCAAGAGAGCGAAGAACTCTCTCTACCACAAACTCTTCCGAATCAGTCATTGATTGGACCATCAGAGGCAGAATAAACTCCTCTAGACTTGTACTTCCCACGCAGACCGCAACACCAACCACAGCCTCAAAGAAGGCACATTTGAGAATCCAATCTTTATCATTGAGATAGGTGTTGAGATGACTCAGAATCACCTCGTTTGTCTTCTGATTGCCGAAAAATACACAGAGACTCGGGACAGACCCAAGGAAAGCCCGGCGGACGGAGGGATCACTGTCAGTTAGAAGGGCCTTGGTGTGGTGTTCAAAGTAGTCCAGAAGATCTACCCTTGCAACGTCGTAGAGATTGTGGTACGTCGCATCTTCGGTCCAGTTGGCCTCTGAACCTGCTGGAATGAGGGATGGAAGACGTGTATCCGTTCGCAGAGCTTGAATCACGTTAAGAAACTTGAGAGACGACTGAGCCAATGAAGCGATAGACGACGCATACGCAGCGCGAACCATTGAACTTGGGTTCGAGGTCGAGCTCGGAATGAACGGTTGAAGTCTTGGAAAGATATATTCTTGGAACAGATAGGCGTTGACTGGAGAAACCACTTGGATCATCGACAGAAGCTGTGCCAAAGTGCGGATCGCAGCAACCTTCACAATGTCCGATCGGTCATTGAGCAAAATCATAACATATGGAAGTATACGATCCAATTTTGCTTCATCCGTAACCCTCTCAGCGAATGCAAGAAGAAGATCACATGCTTTGACTCGGGCGGATGCTTTGGCGGTATTCCGCACATTGGCAACAATGACCGTAAGGAAGATGAGGGCCCCATCTTGCGGTTCCAAATTCGATGTCTCGTGCTGATAATTCGGAATGTCGAGATGAACCGGAAGTGCCTCAGTGGTCAGTCGAGGTGTTGTCAACTTTGAGCCGTCTTTCGAGTCTCTGGACGTTGAGCCCAGGAAGTAGGATATCTTATCGAAGTCCAGGTATATCCGCTCAATTCGGTCATCAGATTCGCCCATATTTCCGGTCTCAGCATCGACATGCGCTCTTCCTGAGGCAGGCTCAGTGATGAGGGACATGTACTGGTGAAGGAAGCTGTAGAAGTATTCGGGGAACGCCTTATGCCTCCAAAAGTTGAGGTATTCCTCTGCAGAATATCTCTTCTCCGGATCAATCTGGATCATGTGAAGTACCAGTTCCCTGATGTTTTGATCTTCGATCTTCTCGAGATGACTATGCTCTGGACTGTACTCCCCTTTTCGGTACTTGTAGAGCTGACTGAGCGTGAAGATCGGTGACTCCAAGAAAAGCTCGGCAATAACACAGCCGGCACTGAATATATCCATTGCCCAGTTGATGCGCCTGTTCCCTGGATCCTCGCCGTCGACTAGGAATCTTTCTGGAGCCAGGTAGCAGGTCCGTCGGCCTGAGGTATCAAAATAGAAGGAAAAGTCTGCTGGGTTATCTTCCGGCAGAAAGGTCGGCTTAAACGAGGAAGAAAAATCGGTGAGATAAAGCCAGTTCCAAGACGTGACCAGGACATTTCGGTTTTGATGTCTCCATGGAAGACATCTTGAGAATGGCAATCACGCAGGGCGCAGAGCAGCTGGAAGGCTATCCACTTCTTTTCTATGTCTTCCAAGAACGGGCGAGTGCTGCGCACATTAGACTGGCCGTTTCAGCAAATGCAGGGGTGATTCATACCTCATCCGATCGTACAGAGAGCTATAGATGTACTGACGAACCAAGTAGCCACTGGTACTAGTTTCCAGTATCCGCTGGTATGCCAGGGCGTTGGGCACTCTAGCAAGGAGCTCTCGTTCACCTGGATTTTCATGTTAGACAAGTCTAGCTAACAGAGGACAGATGCAGACGGACGAATTATAGCCTTGACATATGGGTCCAACTTCATGCTGGGATAAGGTTTCATAATAACCTTTACGACGGCTAGACCATTTTGCTGCCTTGCCCGAATACTTTTCATAAACCTCGCCGATCCCAGAGATTTCTCATAGACGAGATCGGACAGCTCGGGCACATCGATCCCCGCCGACCCTGCTGATAGGGTCGTGAGAGAATAGCCTTGCCCCATCGCGGCACTGATAAGAGATCACTTCCCTACAGACGGAAAGAAGAATCAGGCCGTCGCTGGCAAGGACAAACGCTCATTTGTCACCGGCCAGGTCGACCCTTCGGCTGCGACGCGATACCGAAGAGAAGACACTGTGATACGTACGCAAGTAAGTATCGCCGGACCGTTCAGAGCGTGTCGACGGTCAGTTGGATGTTGGATATCAGTGGAGACGTCAGGTTGGCGGGAACAGCATTACATAATCCTTGTCACGCGGCAGAGTGGGCCCGGTGAGTTGGCTCCTGACGCTCCCCGAGCGCCAAGCAACTTAATTGTATACAGGCCAAGACAGCAGTCGCTGCTGCTTCAGCGTCCATCTCCATCTTCCAGAACCCAACGGGCGTGCTTGGGTTAGGCATTGCGTTTTGATTCTCGTCTCCGGAGAGTATTTCGCTTAGAGGCTTGAATTCTACACTGTACACCGTTCAATCGCCAAGTGATATATATCTCCTACTATTTCTGGAACAGCGGAGTGGGAACAAATGGTAGTCGGTTTATCACAGTCAATTTCATCCCATCTGTTCGACGATGAAGAACTTGAAGTGCCCCTAATCGACAATAATGAGTCGCTCCCTGAGGTTGTCCGGAAACTTTCCAGGTAAGTTACGCCCTCGAGAACTGTGGAAACTCCCAACGTTTATACTGGAACACTCTCCAGGTATATCATCGCCGCAATTTCAGATGTGCCTTGTACGTTCGACCAGATGAGATCGTCCTTTCTTGGACAACGGCTCCGGCCACTGATACACTCTCTATCGGAGAACGTGCACAACCCATCTATCGTTTGTTCTCTGATGTGAGTACTGAGGGAACGATTGCGTGAATCTCACTGGACTCACTTCTCTAGGATACTCAAATGGCAATTTGACAACGTCCCTGACGATGAACTTGGTCTCAACGAGAGCCGGGGATACGCTTGCGAATTCGTCGCATGGCAATTCCTCTCGTCTCTCTCGTATCGAGAAACCATTGATTTTCTCCTACAAGAGCTCCCTGGTCCAAGGAAAGATTCATTAACCGTCTCTGAAGCGGAGAGGGGCTCATCTGGTTTCGGTGCGTCTGAGGAAGATCCAGGATATAGAGCCGCGCACGAGAGAACTCCTCTCCTTTCTAGTTCAGCTTCCTCCCCTCATGGCATTTTCGGCGCCAGTCGAAAGAGAGAACATGACCATAACCGATTAGGTGACACGGAAAGCACATTTGAGGATTATTGCACTGACGAGCAATATTCGCTATTTTATGGGCTCAATGCGTTGGAAATTGCGGCGATTGCCCATGCTAAGAAATTCCTCAGTCAGAAAGTCGTCCAGCGGATCATTGATGATATCTGGAATGGTGAAATTGTCTTCTGGGAAACCCTAAGTGTGCACTCGAAGAAAACGCCACAGATACTCAACAAAAAGTGGGTGTAGGCAACAACAGCAGTGACTGGGAACTGACATTAGCATCCTCAGGACCGTGGATCCGTATTCTCGCCTCAGGGTGCCAATATACCGAAAGGCATTCGAAGCAGCGTTTTTTGTATCTTTCCTGGTCCTCTACTATGCAGTGTTGGTGGAGCGTGATCCAACCAGGATCAGCCCGCTGGAAACTATGATGTACATCTGGATTGCTGCCTTTGCCTATGATGAACTCAGCGGCATGACGGATGCGGGAATGCTCTTCTACCAGATGGATTTTTGGAGCCTTTGGAATCTCGGGATTATTGGGACCGGAATTGCCTTCGTTGTTGCCCGTGAGTCATCGCTCCTTGCAAATTTGCCTTGCTTGTCACCGCCATTATCACTGTCCTTCCCGACTGAATTGATTGTCGTTTCATGTGGCTCGGTTTGGTTCGAGGCGCAAACAGCTGATGCAGACGATCCAGGAATCGTGGGTCTGGCAAAGCAGAACGACTACATCACAGACCTCTCTTTTGACATTCTATCTTTGGAGGCACTTTTTTTGGTTCCCAGGTACGGCTTCACCGTCTCTTTAAAGTCGTACACAGCCTCTGTGTCCTACTTTTCATGGGTGCTGATGCGGTGAGGCTTAGGATCTGCTCGCTAGTGAGCTTGAATCCATACTTTGGAAGCCTAGTACGTCGGGTCCTGGAGAGCACAGCCTCCTGGTGTGCTAAGACAGCTAATCTTCGCCGCCGTAGATACCAGTGCTTAAGGAAATGGTACAGTCTTCATTGGGGCCTGCGCCTAGACCCCTGCTATGATCATCATGGTCCTGACTAGATTCAACGATCCAGACGAAGGCTTTTCTAAAGTTCATGCCTGTCGTTATCGTTCTGTACCTTGGTAGTGGCATCCTGGCGTCTTGAGTGAGAAAGAAGTTTACTGACCCTCTCTTACTTGCAGGGTTTTTGACGACCTTTACGATGCTGGCTCGTGACCGACTGACTCTGAAGCAAATGTCCTGGATCTTAATCAAAGTTTTCTTTGGGTAAGGCGAATTCATTGTCTTTGAATCCGCGCAACGCTTTCTTTGAGAACTGACGAGTGAGGGCGAGGCAGGTCTACCCAACTTGGATTTGTACGTCATTGCCTCGTTGTAGAGTATATACTTCATGAAGGTGGCTGAATTGATTGGCTATCAGGACATCGCGCAAGATGTAAGAACATGTGTTCAGGCGGCTGTTATGCAGTCCTAATTGAAATTTCCGGGGTTTGTCCGGAAATGATTGGCCTTGATGGCAAGTTGACTGACGCGCTAATGTCTAGATCTCGCCCGTCTTCGGATACAGCCTCATGTGAGTTTCCTACAGTACCCGTTCTCTCAACAGTCCCAACCCGCATGCGCTCTTGGTCACGTTGGAGTTCAGATGGGCCATCAATTGCGCTGCAATCTTTCTTGCGCAATTTTCATTGTACAAGAGGCCCTATGAGCTTGACTCTGGTTGAGGCTACATTCCGTGCTTGCGCCGCACGGATATGCAGAACAGCCTCGGAAATAGGGAGTATACGGTCGATTCTTTGACTGAAACTGACGCAGCTAAATGATTTCTTTTTTTCTTAGGGTTATCTTCATCTCGATGACCAACATATTGCTGATCTCATCTCTGATCAGTTTGATGAGCATGAGCCTTGAAGGGGTGTGTATCCCTTTCCCGGCCGGACGGTAGCTGGGAGTTGACGGCATTCTGCAGGTTATGGCGCATGCACGCGAAGAGTATCTTTTCCAGTAAGTCGTGATCCGAACGTTCTCGTCCTTGCGCTTCGCGCCGCGGTACTAATCTCTGGCGTCAGACTCTCGATCTACGTTCTAGAGAGCAGTAGCTCCCGTCGATTAACCTACTTCATGCCTCCCCTGGTCAGTGCGCCTTGCTCCAACGGCTGTGCTCACCGTTTGTTGACGAACGCTAGAACCTGATCCCCCTTCTCTGCCTCCGGCCGTTGCGACTGGTGCTCTCTGCAGAAGCGTTACGCCGGCTGCGAATTGTCCTGCTCAAAATCACCCATCTGCCTTTTGTTGCCATCATCTTAGCGTACGAGGCTAGCAGCCCGAAGCGATCCCGCAGGAGCACGCAGACCCCTCCTGCCCTGTCGTCTATCTGGCGGGGATCGCAGCGCGCTTTCTCGGGGAGACCGGACAACTTCCCCCCGCGTCACACCCCGCTCCACCCCACCGCCAACGACGCGCCGTCATTGGCGGCTGGCAAGAGACGTGGCAGTCCGGCCGAGCGCCGCTCCGAAGCGCGCGGGTCAGGGTCGGCGCCGGCCGGGAGCGGGTTGGCAGACGTGATCGACGAGGTGGAGAGGCTGCGCGGTCAAATCGAGCAGGTGGCCGCCACTGTAGCATTCCAGCAGCGAAATCACTGAGGAACCATTGATGCTTGGCGGATGCCTGCATCTGATGTACCCGGGCCAGCGGTTTGTTGGCCGGGATGCGGGAGGGGAAGGGGTTTGGGTTGGGTCGAGGACAATGCCACACCCGCGATAGCTTATCTGCACGCACTGCATGTCCTGACAAATACTCTTGAAGACTACACCGTATTGAGATGCGAAGTCCAAATGGCTCTGGCGCTAAAGCCTAAAAAGGTGGCCCCGTCGCCCGTCAGTGCCCGTCACAGTCCGGAAATATTCTTAGGTCCGCCCATCCGACGACTGAAGACGCGACTCCGCAATGTCTCAAAAGCCAGAGTAGAACGTTGCGATTTCATGGCCATTCCAAATCTTTTTTTTCCCCTGGTACTTTCAGGTCGAGATATTCAGGATATGTCGAGTCACTTGGGAAGGCGGTGAAAGAACTACGAATCCCATACTTCAGATGATCACCCGATCACCAGCGACAAGAAAACATGCTATATAGCAATCTGCAGCCAGGGCGACGATGCCTGCCTCTCACTGGTGGGATACGCCTGGTTATTGTGTCCTTCTGCCCTTGATCCTGGGCGCTGTGACGGTGTCTTTCCAGTGAACCACCCAGACACGCACAGCCGCCTCGTCTGCCAGGGTTATCCAAACTGCCGGGACCGAGCTAGGCTGCTTCAAATCAATTCAAAATTGGGACCATGCACTTACGTTGAAGGGTGCTTTCGCTGGCGAGTGTTGAGGACG